TCAATTGTTGCGGAAGCTCACTCTAAGATCTTAGAATCGATGATTTTCGAGCCTTAGTTTCACGTCGCCTTTCTCTACCAATCAACCATTCCAAACGGCTTTGAACCACAATCAATATATTCACCTTGGTTGTTTCACAATATCATCCACAAAGGAAAATATATTGGTGTTGATTTGTGGCCACAAAAGTAAGAAGGAAACCAATGGCAGAAGGTGCAAAGAGGAGATCAAAATGCAAGGGTAGACACATGATTTTTATTCTACAGAAATAAACCAAGATCCAAAAACCGTCCAATAGGCAAATATATGGATCGTGAGCAATATTAATTTCTTAAGTTACTTCCAACAGTCTACGTTGTTGAGTTGAGCCTTTAGACTTCGTTTTTAGTAATCAATTCACCATCGATCAAGGCATGTGAAAATATAATCCGACGTTTTACATAATTGTTCGAGATTTATTGGGTATCAAAATCCAGCAATCTCTTTTATGTTGTTTTAGTAGATTTTGGTAGTTGCAACTTACCGCTTTTGAATCTGTAGGAATTCTAGCAATGTTATTTCAAACTTCTATACAAGTTTGTCATATACAACTAAGGCTAGTGAGGATGGAGAATATTCTAAAGGAAAGGAATAAATTGAAACTCTAAAAGAAGATCTTAAGTTCCTAAATAGAGCACTAATCCATCCATTACACCGAATAAAATATAACCAATATTTTAATTATACAGAATACAACACTGAAATTAACATAAGAGTCTATTGCCAAAAGACATGCATAAATTCCCAATAATATTCAATATAGTATAGATAATGCATTATTAAATTATCCAATTAATCACACCCCTACCCGTCTACCACCTAAATTCCTTCAATTCTACTACATGTACATAAATTTTTGACAAATTGCCACGTAGTAAGATTTCATTGGATGTTGGATAAAAAGCACACTTAAACCAGTCAATACAGTGTCGTGCTTTCTGTACATTTCATGTGTGCAAAGAGCTTAATTCAAATGCCTTCTACTTACTTCACAAAATTAAGAATAGTTGTGGGCTATTTTCAAGAATCTATCTTGTTATTTTCCCCTCTGTTTAGTACTAATTAGTAGACAAAATCAAGAATTCTAATGTTTTTAGCACTAGCAGAAACCCATAATTTATGTATTCCAAAATAAAAAAGGGCAATTTTTCATGGGGAATTTTAATATTTTTTAAATGAATTGACCACAGAAATTCAAATTCCCAAAACAGGAACGATCATGCTCGGTGTACATCATTTCTTACATCATTCCTTGCATTTTACCACATGGCATCATTTAATTGAACAATTTAAAAACAGCTTTTTCAACCAATCTTTTTTTGACAACAGAGCAAATTTCATCCATAGTGTAAGAAGGGAGTGTACATTCAGCATAATCCAAATAGAAAATACTAGGAAAATCTATTTGGGTTTGTTGATAGAGGTGAACGCGGTTCGATTTGGACGGTTTGTACTATATTTTCAACACAAATCATTTTATGCGGTTTGAAAATTTTCCAAACCAAACCAAAATTTGCGGTTTAGTTCGGTTATAATCCGCGGTTTACCTATCGACATTATAGTAATATATTTAACATAAGTTAGTATATAAGTTTAAATGAGAATTAATAATGTTAAATGTTAAATTACATTCATATTTACCATGAAATTCATGAATAAATTATTTTCAAAGTTTGTTGCTAAAAGATGTTAATAGAACAAATACATCTTTTTTCATTTTTATTTACGTTTTCTTGTTCGATATTCATATTGTCATATAGAGCTTGGTGAAGGTAGAACTACATTTTGGTATTATAATTTGGTTAAAAAACTCATTTCCCTTTGCTAGTAAGATATTAAATAAGGATTGAACGGGATATATTTAGATGTACAAAGATTGATAGAGTTTCGGTTTATTGGAAATCAATGAATTTCATTTTCTAACTACTTTATGAAAGTAGAAGTTAGTGGTATTAGTTAAGGAATTTTAACAATTTTACACAATCAATACGATCTATCCTTCTTTCTTCCCAAACCACAAACAAGTTCATCAATTATCTAGGCACACAAACAATTATTTTTCTATCCAAACCACAATTCACAAATATATAATAAGTTCAAAAATAACAAATAAAAGAAATAACAACGAAAAAATGGCTTGAATGAGAATCCAAGCCTTATCGAAAGATAAGAGAGAAAGAGGTGGTTCAAGTAGAAATTAACAATTTAACAGGCAAAGGTGACTGACAATTCGTTCAGCAATGAATGTTATTGAAATGAGAGTCTATATTAGGGCTTCTAAAACTTTGGACGTGATTTGTTGATATAGTTTTGTTGAATTATAATTTGGATTGTTGAAAATATGTCTTTTTCTTTTCATTTCATATGATTTTAGAATAATTTTAGTTTAGTTTAGATATTGGATGATGACATGTGTTGTGAACTTGTTAAACCATAGACCAATAATGATGAACATAATTTACTTTCCATGATTATTTCAATAGGCTGGTTGCAATTTGTATTGTTAAATTGGTATTTTTTCTGAAAAGTGAAAATTGTAAATTTTTTAAGTTAATAAAATTAATGTTTTAATTAAAAAATTTTAAAACTGTTCGGTTTGGTTTTGTGCGATTTTTGAAAATTAAAATTTAAACCAAACATTTTTGAAACGATTTGAATCGGTTTGAGGGGAAAAAATCATGGGTTCACGTGGATCCAAACCAACGATTTCAACTCAATGGTTTCGCGATATTTTTGTACAACCCTATTTGTTGATGCCACAAATCATTGTCCTGAGCAAACTATCAAGAAAACGAAAAAGTGCTAATCTGTTATTTTTTTTCTCTCCTTGGTTGCGACTTCGGTCTCTTCCTTCTTCGATGGCAGAATTGGAGAGATAATTAGCTTAATAAATCAACGTGTCTCTTCCTCTGGCCCTAGATAAAACCAATGGTTTTTTCTTGAGGCCATGAGCGGGTTGTGGGCCAAATATTTTCTATGAGGCCCTAGGTCATTGATTAGTTAGTCTTGGACTAGTGCCAGCCCTGATTTACATGGATAGGAAAGCAAAAAATTGTGACACTTGACAGGCAATTGTTATATAAGCCTCTCCAACCATACAAAAATTGGAGGTTTGTTTATATCTGTTCATACAAACTGAACCAATTGATCAACTTGACGGATCTATTAAGAACCAAGTGGCCAGAGTATTACAAATATTTATATGTGAATTAGCTTAATTATTAAACTTGTACGGTATTATTACATAATATACTCCTGCAATCACAAAACTTGAACATAATTTTAGATAATATATTAGAATCAAGTTGACCATATTCAATGCATTGCATCATATTAATTATGCATGATATCGTTTTGGACCACAATGGATGTACACCCATAGTTCACCTTGTATTGGTTATCCATTAAGCTCATAAGGAGCTTTTGTTCAATAGACTTGTAACATCTTTGATATAGTTATAAATAATCACTTTATAGATAACATTTTATCACCTTATCAATTTTATAGTTAAGCAGTTATAGCATTTAAAAAGGAAGTTGATGCGATGACACTGAATACTATGCAAGATATAGTTTTTGGATCCTTACTCAGGGCCGACCCTTGGGTCAAGCCACCTAGGCAACCGTCTAGGGCCTCCAATTTTTGGCTTGAGCCCAGGGCCTCAAAATCCACATTAATTCCAAAATGAAAAAATGGTTTGGGGCCTTTGGGCTAGAGTCTTGGACTAATGGGACCTAATTTCCTTCGGGCCGTGTATTTTTTCAATTCAAGAATTCTTCCTCTCAAATTCAGAAATTCTCAATCCTTTGCTTTCGATCCGCTGCTTCCAGTTCAAGAATCCGAAATTCTCCAGGGCTTCCAAGGACCAGTGCCTATGAACGAAAATTCGAAATTAACCGCAAAAAAACCCAATTTCTCCGCTTCTCGCACTCCCAGACTAGCACAGTTGCACGACGGCCTGCTGGATTCCTTTTTTTATATCTATCAGGTCCTTGGTTTTGGTAAGCAGCTTATATGTCTGATTAGTCATTAGTGATTATTAATCATGTGGTGGTAGTTTACTTTGTTCAAAATTTGAATATTTCAATGGTGAAAAGGAAATGAAAAATAGGGTTATTTATTTATTTATTTTACTCAATTACTGTTAATAATTAGTTCTATCTATTAGTATTAGCTTTAGTGGGGAATACTGGAATAGTGAATTGGTGATGTTGCGACTAAGAGCTTCTACATTTTCCCTCTCCTTGAACTGGCTTGGGTCAACTGGTTTCGAAATTCATCCTTGAAACAAGCTTCTTCAACTAACTGTCTCCAATTTGAATAAGTGTTTACATTTTCTTTGTGGTAGCAATATCAAGCGATGATGCATCCCCAGGTCCCCTGATCCCCGGACAATGTATCCTCCTATTCTGGCTATTCAATGTATTCATTTAAACATAGTCATGTCTAGCGCTGCATAATAAACGTGTACTGGGAGTAATTTCAAGAATAATTGGAAGCCTCAATTAATACGGAGGTAATTTTTTTCATTGCAAAGGGATTGGAAAAGGGTTGAAACATGAATATCAACCATATCTGAGCTTGCATCACTTGATGTGAAGCTTTAGCTTTATAAGTTGTTGTTTACTTGTTTATGCCGAGTGAATTTAGCATTATAGGTTGTTGTTTACTTGTTTATTTGTTTTACTTTTAATTGAAATTTTGAGAAATTTTAAAAGTCAAAGTGAACCCTAGGTTAGGTTTGTAATTTGTTCCCCAAAATTCCATATGTTGCACTTCAAGAAACAATGCATTTCTTCATCATTGATGTTGGTATTGCTCAAGTGTATTTTAATTTTTTAAATGTTATTTGGTTATTTTTTGCAGGTTGATTGTTGAACTTTTACACTTGGCATATTTGAGAATCTGGGATTTTTTAATTCGAACTCTGAATCAGGTTCTACCATTATTTGCTTTAATTATGTCCACTAGAAAATCTGAATCTGGATATTCTAAAAGAAAATGGCATAAAAAGGTTGAACAGTTAATTAAATCTCACGAAGGAGCTATTGATAAATTTTTTTATGGCAATAAACAAAAACATAATGACGATATAGTTCCCGAAGAAGAGTTTGATAAGAATGATATCGACGATAATACAATTGAAAAACATCATTGTTTGGTGAATGAAGAGATATCTATCGAGGATGATGTTATGAATGAAAGAAATATCAATGAAAAGATTAGTGAACCATTCTCCTTTGATATTAGTGATCCAGCGAATTTGAAAAATGTGAATCTGAATTTAAGAGATTTAATCATAATGAAAGGTCCAGTAAGAGATAATGATGTAATTTTTCCAAAAGATGTAGCTAATCGACACTTCTCCTCTGTTCATTACACTCGACGATTATCCAATGGAGAGAATCATGATAGAAAGTGGTTGATATATTCAAAAAGTCTGGACAAAATATTTTCTTTTTCTTGTAAGCTATTCAAGAATAATGGGGTTCAAACTCAATTGGCACATGATGGTGCGAATGATTGGAAAAATATTGGTGAAAATTAAGAACACATGAAGTGAGTTATGACCATATTACTAACATGAGTAGATGGATTGAAATGAAAATAAAATTTCAAAGAAAAAAATAATTGAAAAAAGTGTACAGGAACAAATCAATAAGGATAGAGAACATTGGAGACAAGTTTTATTGAGAATAATATCCGTGGTTAGAACTATTGCAGAAAATAATTTGGCATTTCGTGGAGATAATGAGAAGATATACCAAGAAAATAATGGTATCTTCTTAAGCTTAATTCAAATGATTGCTGAGTTTGATCCTGTAATGCAAGAGCATATTCGTCAAATTCAAAATAAAGAAATTCATTATCATTATCTTGGACACAAAATTTAGAATGAGTTGATACTTATGCTAGCGGGTGAGATCAAGAAAATGATCATTGAGAAACTCAAAGAATCCAAGTACTTTTCTGTGATACTTGATTGCACTTTGGATTTAAGTCACGAAGAACAAATGTCTATAGTATTGAGATGTGTTGATATTTCAGCAAGTCCAGTGAAGATAGAAGAATTCTTTTTAGGATTTTTATTGGTGGATGATACATCTGGAAAGGGACTTTTTGATGAATTAGTGAATGCGTTGAATAATCTAGAACTTGATATTAATAATATAAGGGATCAAGGATATGATAACGGTGCTAACATGAAAGGAAAATATAAAGGGGAATAGAATAGACTACTACAAGTAAATCCTAGAGCATTTTACACTCCTTGTGGGTGTCATAGTCTCAATCTTACACTTTGTGATATAGCTACTTGTTTACAAAAGCTAAATCTTTCTTTGGAGTGCTACAACGTATATATACTCTTTTTTCATCATCTACTAAAAGATGGAAAATTGTTAAAGATAATGTAAATGGCCTTATTCTTAAGCCTTTGTCTCAAACACGTTGGAAAAGTCATGTTGAAAGTGTTAGAACAATAAGGTTTCAAGCTCTACAAATAAGAAATGCTCTACTTGAATTGGCAAGAGTTGATGATCCTAAGACAAAAAGTGAGGCAGAGTATTTGGCAACATATCAAATGGAGAATTTTGAATTCTTACTTGGAGTGGTTATTTAGTATGAAGTGTTGAATAATGTTAATAGAGTAAGCAAATATTTGCAAATAGAGGACATCCATATTGACGTTGCTATAGACCATTTAAAAGGGCTCATTTCATTTTTCAAAAGCTATAGAGAAACTAGATTTGAATCGGCCGTAATTGATGCTAAAGAGATTGCAAATGAATTAGACATTGAACTGATATTTCGTGAAAAAAGAGTTATATGTAGAAAGAAGCACTCTGATGAGATTTCTTGTGAAGAGATGATAGAAACAGTTGAAGAATCTTTCAGGGTCAATAATTTCTTATATATAGTAGATCAAGCTCTATCATCGCTTCAAAATAGATTTGTACAATTTTAGGAATATGATAATATTTTTGGATTTTTATTTAATTTGGAAAAGCTTAAATCCATTGATGATGCTAAAATGAAGTGCCGTTGTATTAATCTTGAAAATTATGTGAAGCATAACTGATGCAGGAGGATCCGAGTCAAGTGATACTGATTTGTCAAATTGCACGATGATGGCGCTGAGATACCACGAGATGGCGGATCGGCGCAAAGATGGAAAGTAAATCACCATTATTTCCTTAATTTGGAGATTTTGACGCGTCTTTGGTAATTTGGCCATAACTTTGGCTACGATTATCGGAATCGCTATTATGACCCCAATTCGAAAAGCTCTCTCCGGCACGCACGTCGTGGCCATCCAGCTTTGCTCGATGGACGTCAATTTCAAGCCCAAAATTCACTGTTTTCCTTTCCAAAATTCAATTTTAAGTTATTTTTTACTATTTATGGTAATATTTAGTTTCCTTTTTTCTATATGTTAGAGAACTCGAATTAAGCCAAATTTTTGGCAACTTACTTCTTTTACTTAATATTTTATTTTGGTATAATTTCGAGATTTTGCCATTTTTGGTAATTTTTCAATAATTTCGTATTTCGCAGCTATTTAACCCGGCTTGTGGGTTAGTTTTCAGCATTCTGCATTATTAATAATATTGAGTTGAATTCAGAGTATTTTCTCTGTTTTTTGGGCGTTTTCTATCGTTCTTTTCTTGCGAATCATCTGCTACAATAAGTCAATAGGATAATCACTATCCTACCCGGCGTCAATAACACAGTATCCGATAACGATGGAATGAAATTATTTTCTGAGTTGAAAGTTTTAAGGGAAGCAATATCTATAGAAATGAATGGAGCAGCTGATGTGTTAGATTACATTATGAGAATGAATAGCTGTTTTGCAAATGTTTGGGTTGCTTACAGGATATTATTGACTATCCCAATCACTATTGTCTCCGCTGAAAGAAATTTTTCAAAGTTAAAATTGATTAAGTCCTATCTTTGATAAACCATATCACAAGAGATGTTGAATGGATTAGTTATGATTTCTATTGAAAAAAATAAATGTTCTAAAAACTTGATTTGAGTTATTTGATTACTAATTTTGCATCTCAAAACGTGAGAAAATTAAATATGATGTTAGCTTAATCTCTCGCATTGTAAGTGATATTTTATTTAGCAATTCTATCTTTTAGATTGTACAAAATTTTCATTTAAATATAGATTTTGTTTTATTTAAATATTGCTATACATGTAGAAAAACAAAGTATGGGGCCTCTAGATTGTCGACTCACTTAGAGCCTCCGAATTATTAGGGCCGGCTCTGTCCTTACTCATGCAAAGATTAAAATATAATCCTACAAAAAGTTGATGGTTGACACTTCTTGTTCGTTATTGTTGAACATCAGTAATTATTTCAACACAAATCATTTAAAGCTCGGATCGATAGGCCCCATCTCGTATAACTTATCTTGGGCGCAATGTTTTATAAAATTGATTAATCAGAGTACAATGTGTGATTAAAAAACTGAAGTGATTAATTAGTAATCCAAAACAAGAAGAATTCCATAACAGAAATAACTTTTAATCAGTTTCGACATTGTCACATTGGAGTATATAAATAATCTTAATAAAGTCAAAATCTAAACCAAACAGACTTGGTATAAATGCAGCATGCATTGATAATGGAATCTACAATTTGGAATTATATTTTATTAAAAAAATTAATTAAAAACTCCCCTAGAGGAGAATGGGTTCAAATAATAATCCTAACATCCGATGCTTGATTTCAAGATTCTGAATGCCAATCCCATCTCCATGTTCGTACAAGTATTGTGCCATTCTAGCGAAATTAACAGCAATTCCCACAAAAGTCTGTGAGAATGGAGAATCCATATGTTGATCTTTGTTCAATTTTTTCCACATCTCCTGTATCAGAAACCTCATGTGTTTGCGTGCATCGTCTTCAGAAGCCCCAGTTTCGCTCATGTAACATTGTATTGATGTAGAAACGTCACCCCTTTCGAGTTCATCCTGAATGAAGAAAAATGGACAAGATTTGTTAGTCGAAAGGGTGATTTTCAAATTGAATGACCCTAATTGAAATGTACATTCTCAAGAATCAAAAAACTTAAAGCACTCTGGGAAAATTGATACTTAGTACAATTTTAACTTCATAAACAAAAAAAAAAAAAAATAATAATAATAATAAAAGGAAAGAAACTTAAACATGAAATGAATATTAAATTCTGCTATATATGGCTCACGATGTACGTACCGATGATGTAGCTAAATCATCTGCAAGCCGTAAAATTGTTGCCAACCGTCGAATTACACCAGGATATTTTTGTAAGTACTCAACTGCTTCTTTCTCAATAGGATTGGTGATAATAAAAAAAGCATGAGACATTATCACATGAGATGATATTGTTATCCGTGCATTTTCCATATATTCTTCCAGTGTTGGTGTGTGTCCATTGAAGTACCACTTAGCCTCTTGTAAGTATGCTTTGCATATATCTGTCCACTGTAGTAATGCTCAACGTTGTAAGAATTGTAAAGTCAACTCATTTACTAGAAAAATAAAAACCGAATTTGATAGATAAATATTAGCAGTTCTAGAATATGAAATACAGTGTGATCGACTGTGATCATACTATACCATATGAATGCATTTCAAAGATTTCTAAAATATTCAAGTGACTAAAGAATAAAAGGGAGAAGTATTTTTAACTTTATGAAGTGAAGTTATACCGCATTTCTTAAATATGGAATAACTAGGACCCCTTTTCCCGTGAGAACATCATAAGCTATTTCATTGACGAAGTTGATGACTGCTAGATAACAAATTTGCATGTAATCTGGAAGTTGGTCAATTGCATTGAAATCCCATCTGAATATTGACAACCAAGAAATAATTACAAATGGAAACAGATTAATCAGAAAAGAGAGAAGATCGATGCGGTAAGAAATAGCTATACTGTGGGTTCACCGAATGAAATAATAATGTGGTAATGACATAAGCAAAGTAATGGTCAACATTGATTGCTACATCATATTTTGGTTAAGTAACATATAGACTTGAATGGAGTGATTTGATTGAAATAATAATAGGAAGCGACTTAATTGTGAAAAAACGAAATTCAGAAACCTGATTGAAAGTGGAACATAACTTCGACATTTGCCAGAAATATTTACCTGAAAATTGATGTACCTCGCAAACATTCACATTCTGTAGTGACAAAACCTTATTTGTGTCCTCAAGAAATAAAAAATAAAAATAAAAATAAAAATTCTACTGTGCGGGTCTGATAAGGTGCAGTAAAAATTTAAGAACTGAAGAGATATAATTCTTATTCCTATAAAAATATTACACATGCATGGTTAATTTTATGTTTAACATGCTAGTTCTAGAAATAAAGACAATACTTACCTTTCAAACGCACGAGTAAAAAGTTCCAATTCATCCAGCGTACCATACACATCGTATATATCATCTATGACTGTTAAAAGACACATGACCTTTGTTAAGATTGTTCGACATAATCCATATTGAGGTTCAAATAACCCTCCAATAGTGCAAAAGAAACATTCCACCAGTCTATCCCTCGAAAATGGCAACTTTTCGGCAAGGCATATTCTCTTCCACCACCTACATTGAAAAATCGAGATTAGATGAGTTTATTTCATCTGATTCTAATTTGACATAAATTATGTTTTTTTTCTTAGTTTCCTAATATAGGGTTGTTTGAACTCTATGTGAAATGATTTTATGCATTGTAATAGTTATAATGAATTATTCAATAAACAAAGAATTCTCTCCCTTTGCCTTCTCTCTCTCGTCTCCTCCCCTTTCTCCCTCTATTCTCTATCCTTTCTTATATCTCTCCCGACCTTTTTCTTCTCTTCTTCCGTCTTTTCCTTTTATTCTATAATTATGGTTCTTGTTTACAAGCGTCCGTAGCTACATAATGTAGCCTGAGTTAGCCTTTTCCCCCCTCAGTTCACTAAACTTTTGTTCTATTCCAAACAAACGTCTCTAACATCAGGAGTTTCAAAATACCTTAATATTTAACCAACAATAAATACCTGGAGACTTGTTTTAGCTCCTGCTGATATGTTGCTTGAACAAGGTTGAAATCCAGTTTAGCAAACTCAAGCAGAATAGGATTCATATCTGGATTCTGGCTGTATAGGTTTATGAACCACCGAGCCTCTGCCCGAGGAATGGTCCTGTGCAGCGGGAGCTCCAAGGCATGGTGCACCAATAGAGCACAATCTTGATCAACAATTTGATCCTGAAGATGTTTGATAGTGAATTCTCTCGCCACTTCCAGGGTTCTTCACCTTCTGTTGACAGGAAGGAAGCTTCATACAGTTGTAGCAATCCCTTTGTATCCTCATACAGGTTTGGCTTGAAATAACCCCCCTCATTCTTGAAACAATCAAATATCTCTGCAATCAGCCAAGTTTAGCATATGTATAAAGTGCAGAAGAGGGAAAAAAATAAAAAAAAATCCACGGAAAAATGAAGGATTTTAAGAAGATTTTTTTGGCACCTTGAGAGACATTAAAGCCGTGTTGTCTTAAAAGTCTGAATTCCAAAGCTGTGGCATACAAATCCTTAATCCTTGGCTCGTTATCTTTATCATCTTTTCTGTTAATGAATGTCAAGATATGCTTAATTTCATCCTCGAAATGGTAAGATATGCCCAGCCTTTGCAAGTTATCAATTAAGTTCAACTGATCCTGTGGTTCCGCTGCTTCATCAAGCATCATCTTCACTTGCATCTTCAGCTCAGAAGTCTCTGCCTACATCATGCGTATGAAGTTCAGGTCAGCCTTAAAAAAGGGGGAAAAAAAAGAAAAAAAAAATAATAATAATAAGAAGAGAGCTTTCCATACAAAACATGAAACGTTACTCTAAAAAATGCTAGCTATTGATGATTGTAACTACCATGTATTCATTACTTAATGACTGCACAAAATTGAATTCCCACATGGGAGGCTTGTAATTTCCTGACCGCCTAATCTCAGTCTGATTGCAGGACTTGATGGCCATGGAATTATTTTGATTCTTTTGCTTCATGGTTCAAATGTATCCTTTAAGGGACTATTTATACTAGCCATACATAGCACCAGATTGCAAATAATATTTGAATTTTTTGTTCTAGGTCTGCCCGGGTCTGTTGGGGGTGTGGGTCTGCAGCTACTCAGAAGAAGCATTACACAATCTGAAAATGTCGAAAACATAGTCAACTCCTGTTGGATGATTTTTGTGAATAGTGACGCCGAAATAAGTATAATGATGGTGACAAAGCCGAGGCAAGAGTTGGACTCTTTGTCCTTAAGTCGAATTTGCCCCGCAACGGTGCCTACGGATTTCGACAATCGACTCCCAAGATATAACGGCTACACTTGTGTTTGTAGCACTCCAAAACACAAGTACAACGAACCAAATTTAGGCTTGTGTACTCCAAGGATGAAATGAAGAAAATCAAAATAAATGAAATGATTTTGATTTTGGACAGAAGAAAGGATGAGAGACGTTTTGCATATAAATTTGTGTGGAATAGGACACCCAAAGGGTCCTATTTATAGACCATGAAAGGGTGTGGACAAAATGGTTGAGGCCAAACCATGCACTCTTTCCAAACAATGCACCTTTATGAAAAGGTGTTTATTCACTGATTTTCGTCCTTTTTCGTAATTTCTTCATTCATTCAATATTGATTTTCGAAATGCCAAATATACCCTTCAATACATGCAGAAAAATCAAAATTCTCTTTCGGGGGCGTTGCCCCCGACCCCCACGAGGGCCGCTGCCCCCTCGACCCCCGCGACCTGACCAGGCAGGTCGATCCCCGTTTGTGAGCCCCGAAGCGGCGAAGTGGCAAACAATTTTGCTTAAACGGATTGAGTCGAGCTTTTGAGCATTTGGCCGAAATCGATATGAACTTTAA